TGATAAGAAATAAAAATTATTTCTTAATAATATATAAATTAAAATTTGTTATGCATACCATTATAAATTGACGCATCCTACAACACCAATAAAATTTTGTATCAATACAAAACCAAATCAAGCGAATTTTGTGTCAGTTTTAGTCATCAATGGCTGAGTAATTCTTAGCTTAATTTTTAAAATCCATGTTTAAATGTATATTTGTGATTATTGCTTACATTGTGTTTAATTGGAATACTTAACGATTATATGTTTATATTTTGTTTACTAAATTTTGTTTTTACACGCAGATCTGATTTAATCAGAGAATTAGATTCGAGCAAAAATGACTGAAAAATCAAAGTACGAGTTTCTCGTCTGATGGTCATATTGGATGAGAAGGTATTATATCTTTATAAATTGTTTACATTTATTAAATTTTCTTTTATAAACCTTTGTAGTTTATATTAATTAATTTTATGATTAGAACAATTTTTTTGTGATTTAGGTAGCTTAATCAAGTCATCAAATTAACTTAATTTTGATTACGTTCATACCTCAATTAAAGCCAACTTTGTACAATTCGTCCAAAACTAATTGAAAGAAAAGTTTACTCAATTAAATACTTTTCATTCGTTACAAATAAGAAGCAATATTGCACGCATTGTCAGTGACAACAAAATAATGATTCAATTTTCCAAAATACTATTGTTCGGACGATTAGGGACAATGAAAAAATTCCAATGCATAGATTTGATTTTGTACAATTACAATTTTTAGATCAATTTCACAACAATTTTTCACTTCCTGGTAAATATATTGATTTATTTTATAAGACTATAACGGTTAATTTTATATAATTTTTTTTTTGCTTACATGTTTTATTTATCCACTTTTATTAGAAGAGATATGGGTGTGAACGAAGTAGGTGATTCTATTGAAATAGAAGATAAATAGTATACATGTTTTTATTATATTTTATTATTTCTATTTTTTTAAAAACAACTAATAATGATTTAGGATTTAAATTATTCAAAAAATGAAAAAAAAAATATCTTTTCACATTAAAGATTTTAACCTAATATGTAATCGATAAAATATCATATTTACAATTTTTTTTTAGATATCATATTTACAATTTATTCATATTATTAAATTCAGTTGTCATATAACTAACAACAACGAATAAAATACAAAACAACAATAAATAAAGTCGCATAATAAATTACATTAAAAAAATTAAAATTATACTTTTGTAATAGGCAATAACACTTTAATTAAATTATTATGTGTTTTTTTCGTCTAAAATTATTAAATAGTAAAATAAATCAAATAATTATAATATATAAACTTAGAGTCTATAGGAAAATATATTTTCTTGAGATTTATGTATTAAAAAAAAACGTGCATCGCCACCTAGATAAAAGTAACGAATTATATTTGATATATCTTAAATTTTAATGCCACGTAGATTATAATCCACGAATTGAATTATTTTAATGAAAAAAATAAAGTAAAAATATAGGAAAGATAAATTTATTAATTCAATACTACGAGTATAAGAAATCTAAAAAAAAATATACTAAAAAATATTTAAATGATCACGCTTATAATAAAGTTTGAAACCTATCATATAACATAAATTTTGATAGTATTTATGATAAGAAATACAATTGTTTGTTAATTATAATTAAATTTAAAATTTGTGATACCTACCATTATAAATTGACACATCATACGACACAAACAAAATTTTGTATCAATAAAAAACCCCATCAAGCGAATTTTGTGTTTTTGTGTTAATTTTTGGTCATCAATGGTCGGGTAGTTTTTAGCTTAATTTTTAAAATCCTATGTTTAAATTAGTATTTCTAATTATTACTTACATTGTACTAATTTGGGATACTCAACAATTATATGTTATGTTTTATTTACTAAATGTTTTCTTACATGCAGATCTAACACATCATACGACACAAATAAAATTTCGTATCAATACAATACCCCATCAAGCGAATTTTAGGTCATCAATGTCCGGGTAATTTTTAAAATCTTATGTTTAAATTTATATTTGTTATTATTAGTTACATTGTATTTATTTAGGATACTTAACAATTATTTTTATGTAATGACATACGATTAGATGTTGTATACTTAATATATGGATGACTTTGGTTATTTTTAGAGATGATGAAAAAATTCCAATGCATAGATTTGATTTTATATCGCAACAATTTTTCATTTATTGATAAATATATTGATTTATTTTATATAAATGTAACGATTTAATTTATATCAATTTCAGTTTGGCTAACATTTTTATTCATTGATGTAGTAGGTTGGTTGTGGACTTGGTTGGTGATTCTATCGAAATAAAAGATATGGTAAACAATGAATAATGATTTAGGATTTAAATTATTAAAATTTATCATTTCACATTAAAGATTTTATATAACGGAAAAAATATCATATTTACAATTTATTTATATTTAATAAATTCATTATAAATTATAGTAAAAAAAATATTAAACTTTTGTTGTTGGAAATTATTAAATACAATAAATCAAATAATTAAAAATAGATGAAAAAACCGTGCATCGCACGGGCTTCCATCTAGTAAATAAATAATATATAGGTGTATAATGGACTCGACTTTTCATTTTCATGTCTCTACCTATTCCATAAAAATGATAACATGATACTAAAATAAAATATAAGCTAGTAATTAATAATATTTTTATTATATCTTTACATATGTTGTTAGGTACCTAATATGATTAGGACTCTCATTGTAACCCTATAAATATTGATCAATGAAAATCACTCTAATAACGAGTTTATATTATCTGACATGGTATCACAACTTACGTGAGATCTTGGGATCATATACAAAAATTCTCATCCTGCCGGTGGATTGGATAATTAATCCCACCGGCGGGATATAAACAATTTTTTATGCTTCCGCAATTAATCACACAAATATAGATTTTTTTTCTTTTCTCAAAGTTTTTTTTAAGTATATGTATGTAACCTTGCGCCTCCAACCAACAGTAGCAACCCTGATAGCCTCCTCCATCATTGGTGGCAATCACATACACCGCCTACCTACTCCATGCGCCGTACTCTATTTCCACCTCCTCATGACCAACAATGACTGTAAAGTCTGCCTTTTGCAATTCTTACATTGTCCCATAGATTTTTCTACACATAATCACGTAGATTTAGTTCGTTGGTGGTATATCAGAATATGGTCAACTTTTGCACATTACTTCTGCTATCAAGTTGGCTCCTCTTATTGTTGCAGCACTAGGAATCTTTGTGGAGTATTAATTTTTGCTACCTGGTCTCTTTTTTGAGAATTGATTAATTTCGAGCGGCGGAATTTAATCTTTTCTTGCACAATTTTATTTGTTTTTCTTCATTTGTGATTTCCCGTAGTAGTGTAGTGTCTTTTCCCTGATGATGGTTTGATCCCTTAGCTTCTTCTTTTCTGGATCTGCAACTTGGCCCAAGTCTGTGCGTGGCTCTTCTCCTTCTCCTCCAGCCTAGCAGCACTTATCTCTACTCTACATAGGTCGTGGTTGTTCGTTGCTTCTCACCGTCATCACCGACACAAGTCTACTACTTCTCTTTTGATCATGGGTTACCATAATATCTTACCGTGCGATGCATGATTCGGATCCAATTTGAGCATCCGATTTTCTCCTGCTCCGACTACGGGGGTGTTATAAAATATACTCATCCTAGGTTTAGGATATATCTTGTATAAGAATATCTTTATGATATCTTTACATATCTTGTTAGTTACCTAATATGATTAGAACTCTCATTATAACCCTATAAATATAGATCAATGGAAATCACTCTAATAACGAGTTTATATTATCTGACCAGATACGATCTAAGTTTACCTTTCGAGTGTCATATTCCCCAAGTAGTCAAAGACTTTTTCCATTTAGGACATTTGAGATCACAACATTATTTTTTTCAAATGCATGTCAATTAAGTGCATACAAAATGAGTGGCATTATTATTATTATTATCATTATTATTATTTTTTTTTTTTTTTTTTTTGACAACGATTCAAAAGGAAGTGATGACACAACATACATATCTTCAATGAAAATATTAGTCAAACATAGGCCATAGACAATTAGAGATACGCCAACCACTTTGATTTCATGCTCTTTTATAAAGGCTACTTGTTTCATGTAATATATAAATAATTAATTTGTATCAATGTTAAACTTATTTTTCATGGAGTATTTTTGTTATCCACAAAGTCCAAATTTACCAACACTGTCTAGAGTCACTTCAAACTCTCTACCAAGAAAATTTGGACGCATCAGAAATTGGTCTATAAATGCTTTGAAAAAAAGTTGTTGTATGAGTACTGCTTGTATTGTGCTAAAGCTTATTCCTAAGATACGCATGATGATTACACCACAATGATGTTGACTTACTTTCGTTTCTAGATTAATGCATTGGTTTAATCAGCAATTCTGTCAATTTACAAGATCATTAACATATCTTAAATGTGTATTGGTGATTATTACAAAACAATTTTATAGTTTACAAATATACAATGTGATTTGATTGATCCAACAACAATAATAAAAAAAAGTTAATTAAGTGATCAGATAATATGAAATGAAACACATGGAATAAGAAACTCCCAAAAACTTTTACTTACGGAGTATGATTAGGTACACTAGCTTAGTGCGTGCATGCATATATGTTAATGCATGTATACATTTTTCTTCACTTACAACCGATTTAAAACTGGAGGGAAAAAAATCTACAATATGAGGTTAATTTTTTTTTATTTTTGAAGGACAATATAAGGTAAATTAATACAAGTAATAATGATCAAAATATTATTGGAGACGAATGACAAAATAACTTTAATAGAGAAACTACTTGCTAAGAAATGCACTGTATAAATGAAAACTAGGACCCAATTGGACTACAAAGTTACATCCAATAAATTTTTGTTAAGTTTTAGGAAACTAAAGACTATATTACAAGCCAATACAATTTCTTGAGGTAGTAAAACCTCCATCTATAACAAGGTTATGACCACTTATATATTTGGACTCGTCACTGGCTAAGAAGAGTGCAGCCTCGGCAACATCTTGAGCCTTAAGTGTTGCACCCTTCAAATTAGCCAACCCTTTAACCATCTCTTCCACTTGTTGCACCCTTGACACATCGTCGACGTGCTCTTCTTCCTCGTCATCACGCCATGCATTAATTAGCATGGACGTTGCTACACCAAAAGGGGAGATACAATTTACCCTAATCCCATACTTTCCAAGTTCCGATGATGCATTCTTTGTTAGACCTACAATTGCGTGCTTTGAGGCTGTGTAGGAATGGGGTCCGCACCCACCAAGGACCCCGGCTACACTAGAGGTGGAGATTATGCAACCACTTTTCCTAGGGACCATGGCCCTAGCGGCGTATTTAGTCCCAAGGGCCATGCCTTTTACATTTACACTCATTATCTTATCAAATTCATCACCATCGAAATCCATGATGCTCTTGACTTTTTGTTGGCCTAAGATTGCGGCATTGTTAAAGAAGATATCTAGCTTGTCATAGAGAGCAATTGTGTTCTTGACCAACTTTTCGACGTCTTCTTCTTTACTAACATCACAATGGATGTAGGTCACGGTAGGGGATAACGAGTCGGCTATGGTCATGCCTTGGGTGTCCAAGACATCGGCTATGATTACCGTAGCACCATGGCTTGCGAAGAGTCTCACAACTGTTTCTCCTATACCTCCTGCTCCTCCTGTGACAATTGCAACTTTTCCTCCCAACCTATAAACACTAGAAACTATTATGAATGCAAAAAACTTTTAAAAAAAAAATAATAATAAAAAAAAAACAAAAAACAAAAAAAAAAAAAACAACCCTTATATGAGATTAAATCTTATCACAACATTTTAATACGTGAGATAATTTGGATTTTGATAGGCTTCTTATTATTAGAGCAATATCACACATCTGAATATCTGATTATGTATGTGTTGATGACTTGTTATATCATTGAAAAATAGCTTAATTACTGCGAGAACATGTAATTAGGGTTAACTTGAAGGCAAACAGTACATACATTACTTTATATTCATAAAATGTTTTACATGTGTTTGATATAAAGTTTGCTTCTTTTTATTTCCCTTTCACTTGTAGGCTTGTAGGCAAATGGATAGTCACATCACGTATCACAAGTCCAACAATGAATAATCTACATTTTTAAATATGCACGTAAAACATTACTAAAAAGTGAAAACAATAATCTTTACATTATTATTGCGTAATATATATAGCATCTTTTCTTTTATACCATTATTTTCATTAGAGGTCAATGCCAGATGACAAGTTATTATTAAAGCAGGGAATTAAAACATGCAGTCGGCAAATCCTGTTTAAATTTCGGCGAATTCGGCATGTAAATGCTAGCCTTGTTTAATTTACATGGTCAAATTGGATGTTAATCGTGCTTTAATTTCTGTCACTATTAGTTGAGTTGACTTCTTTTTTTTATGAACTGTATTGATTTTATGAACTGTTAGCGTTGGTAGGTGCAATTTTTCCCACTTGACGAAGCTTAACTTAATACATACAATTATATATTGAAGAATTTCTTATCGATAAAGATGTAAAAATTGGAAGAGGGTGATTGAGAGTGACAAGAGTGCTTTGGGGATTGAGGAAAATATGATGTTGGATAGGGTGGTGTGGAGGGAGAAGTTGACGTGTTGTGAATATATACATATCCCACTAATATTTTATGAATTGATTTTAATTCTTTGCTAAAGTTTTCTCAAACCTTTATGTTTTTTACTCCAACGTTTTAACCACTCATTTAAAGTAATCTTGATTTTTATTTTTGGTTCTCTTTTAAAACTCCCTTAATCTTTCTTGAATGCTCTTTCTTTTACTCACCTTTATTTCAAACTCTACCTTTCAAATTATTATCTTGTTATGTCCCTTTCCTTATATTATATGATTCCTTATGAAGATTCATGTTAGCTGACCCAATATTTTGGGAGTAAGTCTTTGTTGATGTTGTTGTTGTAAAGATGTAAAAATTCAATCAGCAACTTAATAAATTTAAATTATTTAAACTACAATTATGCTTAAAAAAATATAGTTAGAAAAACATTACAAGCTATATTATAAGGAGTATAATGTAGGGAAAATTATAGGAAAAATGGACGTGAATATCCCCAACTTATATTATATGCAATTAGTTTCAATCTTCAAATGTATGAATAAATATTATTCTGCATTGAATTTTTAAATCAAATAAAAAAAATTAATATCAAACTATATGCAAAAATCTAGATAGATTATTGTCTAAGCCAATATGTTAACCTATTAAGTATTGGAAAATAATTTCAGTATAAATTAAAGGAAAATGATAAAAATAATCCTTACAAGAAGCTAATAAGAAAATACTAAGGAAAAAAATAAACAGCAAATACACCAATTTGTGCATGCTTTTGACATAAATTACCAACTTTACATTTTAAAAAGTCTATTTAATGTTGATATGTAATCCTTATATCATTACCTTAAATTACATACACATTTTCCGGAAGTACTATTTTTAAATTTTTGACAAAATTACACATCATTTAATTTGGTATCATCATATGGAGTATATATTGTTCATAATTTTAATTATAATTTCTTGCAAATTGTCTACATTAGATTATTTTTTTTCAATTTATTGATTTTATGGAAAATAATATATATATATATATATATATATATATATGGAAGAAAAAAAATCTCTTTATTCTAAAGCTCTTACTTTCTTTTATGTACTGTTAAAATAAACGATAGAAAAGATCATTAAAAAGAATATATATGAATATATGTATTCATCTCTTAGCCTATCCTTAAGCCTAGGGGTGAGCAAATTGAGTACCCGATCAAATTTTTAGGACCTGCACTCGGAATTGGTTGGAACCAGGTCCTAAAATTCGGAATTGGAATTGAAACCACTTTTAGCGGGTCCTAAAATTTAGGAATTGGAATTGAAACCGCCGAGTACCGGTTCCGATTCCGGGTACCCACTTACGTACATAATTGTTAAAACTTAATACAAATTATAATACTTTTTTTAATCCATTTTCATTTTTAGCATTTAATACTTATATTTATATATGCATGAAACTATTTAATATATGTTAGATATTATTAATATTTTTTTTTATTTTACTAACTAGATTCATTCATCATATTTTTGTTTTTAAAATAAATTTAATTTAATATATATTGGGTAACCAGGTACCCAACCGGTTCCAGGTCCAAAAAAAATGAGAATTGGAATTGGAACCGGTTGCAACCAGTTCCTTAATTTATTACCCGAAATTGGAACCACTGGGTCCAATTTCGGGTTCGGACCCACCGGTTCCAATAAAAATTCCGGGTACCCGGAATTTTTGCTCACCCCTAATTAAGCCTATTAGAGAATGATGTGAAGAGTTCAAATTATATCTTCAGTGAATTGATCCCCCCAACCCCCCTCCCCCCCAAAAAAAAAAAAAAAAAAAAAAAAAAAAAAAAAAACGTCCAAACAAAGTGAATAGACATTCAACTCCTAACTATATACTAAAGACACGTACGCCAACAATGACACGAGTCATTTCCTAGTATATAGATAGCTTTTTTTGGTGTCTATTAAGTAAATTTAATAATGATGGAACTAAAAGTTGACTATAATTTTTTAGCAAAATTAGTATAGCCTAAATAAGTTATGATTTTCAAAAAAAAAAATGTTGGAAGATTATATATGATTATAATCCCTAATAATTTTTTTTTTAATTATTCCAATATATAGATATAAGATATTAGAATCACAAAATATATTTGAATAGCCAATTCATCAAATTTATGTCGAAAGTATTATACTACAAATTATGGTAGACTAAATGGTTAAAAATGATAGATAATGCATAATAATACTTCATACCTTTAATACACATTACTCCATATCTTTTAAACAAAGTATATTGCATGTATGTTTGATAATTTATAATTCGATAAATCATAATACCTCTTTCTTTTCTTAAAACACTTTATTGTATATCATAAATAGTTCTATGTATTTTATTTATAAGTGCTTTATATTCTACTATATAGATTCATCGTGTATATATATTATTAAACAGGGAGTAACCTACCTTTATTTCAATACAATAGAGGCCAGGGTTTATGTGACAAAACATGCTCTATCATAGACAAAAAAGGCCAACACGTTCCTAACGGGAAAATTAAAAATAAAATTAAATAAATAAAGAAAGTAAAATTCAATTATTTTTTAACATTTTTAAACTATATATAGTGTTAAATTAATAATATTAAATAATAAAATTATTGTGCATGACATGGATCCTAAATTAGTATTGCACTTAAAGTGATGTAAAATGAGATTTTCTAATTTTCATTTATCTAAATTTATATGAACTTGATGTCAAGAAAATTAATCATATGAACCTCTTTGAAATAAAGTAAAAATAAAGTATGCATGGGTCTTACTAATTAAGCAAAATTTAATAAACACCAAAATCGTAATTTATGTAAAATCATAAGTATATTGATTAATGTCTTAGAAATTACTTAAACATATATAATTGCACAACAATAACATTTTCACACTCATTAGTTAATTTAATTTAATTTTAAAAAACAAAGCATGACTTGGAAATTAACTACTCCATAATAAAAACATATACTTGGCGTACCTTTTAGTGGGAAGAGAGGTGCTTCCCATATCTACATGATCGGCATTTGGTTGAAGTGTCTCTTCCAATGCCGATTGATGAACTGGCATCTTGAATTCTTGATTGTTGATATGAAACAAATAATGTATGGGAATTTTTTATATACTTTTTTCTTTGTGTGTCTTAATGGAGGATAGAAAATGTTTTGATTGGGGAGGATAGAAAATATTCAAGCAAAACAGATATCATTGCTTTATATATAAAGGACAGAATACAAAAATTTTAATGGATTTGTATATTTTATTTTATAATTTTGTAGACAGCCATCCAGGAATTTTTTTTTTTTTTTTTTTTTTTTTTTTGGAAGCAATACAGCCATAAAGGATAGAGTATGCAATCATGTTCGATTTTTTTTTTTCCTTTTTAAAAAATCTTGAATGATATATTTTTTTTCCTTTAAAATTACACTCCGTATCATGTATGATACATCAAAATAAAAAAAAACATGTATGATACTCTGCATTTAGTGATGCGTAATCATATATGATACTCTACACTTTGTGATACGCAATCATGTATGATACTCTGTACTTTGTGATACGTAATTTTGTGCTACATAATCATGTATGATACTATGTACTTTGTGATATGTAACATTTTAGCTCCTTTTGAGCCTTGACTTCTAGAAATATGTACTTATCAATATGAAGAAAAACTTGCGTCAAATCAATAGTCAATATCTAAAATTTAAGTGGATGATCAACTAGGTTTAGTTGATTTAATTTTTGAGGGGTGGTATTTAAACTTAGGATCACCCATCTACACATCATTTGCTCTTGTGGCGCTCTCTAAAAAATATACGAAGTAGATATTAAAATTCGAGATTTAGATATCGGACTAGTTGTGCCAGAACTTGATCAATAAAATCTGTCCAAAATTTAAACCAGCCCGATATAAATTGATATTTTAAGAATATTTGTATTTTTTAATGTTACTTTATTATAATATGGCAAAAAAGAAATTAAATTTAAAAAAAAAATTGAAAGTGTAATACTTCCTCCGTTCTAGTAATAGTGCAACAATTGGACTTGTTAGATTCATCTCGTAAAATACTTTCACAATATCAACTTTTTATAATTTTTACTCTTATATAATTTTAGATATTTAGCATATAAAATGTGCTTTAGGACGCGTAATTTCATCCTTGTTGCAATATTTGTGGAACAGATAAAGTATACAATACCTTATAATATTAAAACAGTTCTAACATATTGAAGGTAAAATTAAACAATTTTTAGAGGTCTAGTTCGAAGGTCAATCATTACTCCTATAATTTTTTTTTGTTACTGAATTTTTTTAGCATTTATCTTTTGTTTCAACCAACATCACTTGACATGCACCTCCCTATGGCTGGTATGTCATTAATTGTGACGGAGCAACCAAAGGCAATCCAGGTCCGACAGGTGGTGGAGCAATCATTAGAGATTACACGGGCAATTTGGTCACTGCTTTTGCGTCTAATTATGGCTATTGCTCTGCTTTTAGAGCAGAGGTTCTTGCTCTCACTAGAGGCCTTGAATTAGCCTGCAATCTACAAATTGAAAGGTTGGAAGTTCAAATGGATAATGCAGCTTGCGTTCAAGCGCTCTAGTGACAAAATGCAATGCAAGGAGAATGTGTGCAAGACATCAACTTCTGCCAGAAGCTACTAACGATGGGAGATTAAAGTTATACGTGTGTTTCGAGAAGGCAATTGAGCGGCGGATTGGTTGGCCAACCGCGAAGTCATTCAGGACTCTCACTTGGTAATCTTTAATAATGCTCCGACAGAACTTATTCGTATTCTAGAAGAGGATATTAGGGGCGTGGCAATGCCTCGTCTAATTCCTCTTTAGCTTTGTTTTCTTGCTTTTATTTTTCTTCTTCTTTCTTGGTTTATGTAACCTCATTTGGATTTAAAAAAAAAAAACTTTTGTTTCAAAATATCATACTTCCCTTTTTATTACTTTGGTTTTAACTTTGATCATAAATTGTTATTTTTTGAAAAAAAAAAAGTAAATTATATATATATATATATATATATATATATATATATATATATATATATATATATATATATATATATATATATATATATATATATATATATATATAATTGAGATCATGTGAGAACTAAGGTGAATAATAGGAACTAGGAACCAATCTCAGCCTTTAATCGCGCTCCATCTGACGGCTCACATCTCACCCGCTTTCATTAATGGCATTTTCGTAATTTCGCGGATTTTCAAACTTTTTTCCAGTTTTTTAACTTTTAAGGCAATTTCATTTACTTTATAACTGATTTTATTTACTTTTACTGACTTTTCATTTACTTTTTAGAAATGAAACTGGAAATCACTTTGTAAAGTTGAAATATTACGAAAATGTCATTAATAACACGGGAAGCATGTGGACCGTCCGATTAACATGATCTAAGGGCCTAGATTAGTTCCTAATTCTCATTTTAGCCTTAATTCTCATTATAACTTGGTTCTATATATATATATATAGGAAGGCTCATGTAAGAACCCTCCTCTATATAAGAACCCAATCTTATATAAGAACCAATCTCAGCCATTTATTAGTTTTGATCTAACCATCTAAAATCATCCTTTAGTATTGGAATTTCTGTATTTCTGTACAATTTTTTTATTACCTTTCTAACAAAATACCCTAAATCTCAAGACACTTTCTTCTCTCTCCTCAACATTTTCTCTCTCCTCGGCATCTTCTCTCTCCTCAAAACTCAAAACTCAAAAGTACCCAATCTTCATCAACGAATTCATACTCTGGTAAGTTTATCAATTCTTAAAATATTCTAATTTCATTTTATTTCTTGTTTTCCTCGATTCTTTTCCAGATTTCTTTTCAGATTTTGCATGCGATTTTTTGTTTCGATTTTTCTGTTTTTTTATTTTTTTTTGGGATTTTCCTTATTTTTGTTTGTACTTTCATCAATTTAGAGTTTTACATCTTTAGATTTCTTCGTTTTTATTTTCAATTTGTTTGTTTTTCTTTTTTTGCGATTTTTCTTGTTTTTTTCGATTTTTCTATTTTTTTTTTCTTTTTGTTTTTGCGATTTTCCTTATTTTTGTTTGCAATTTCATTAATTTAGTGTTTATATCTTTAGATTTCTTCAGTTTAATTTTCAATTTGTTTGTTTTAATTTTTGATTTTTTTTTCGTTTTTTTTCCAGATTTCCTTTTTCTTTTTTTTTTTTTTTTTTTTTTGCGAATTTGCTTTCCCTAATTTCATCTTCTAGTTTTCTAGTTTTTTTTTATTTGCTTGAGTTTTTCTATTTGCTTGAATTTCATTGCATTTTAATTTCAGGTTGATTTTTTGCTACAATTTGTGTTTTTGAAATTAGGTTTTTGCATGTTCATGGATTTAGATGGTGTTGAACCTAATTCTCCTTCTTCCTCTATTACTCATTTAGGTAATTTATTGTTTTTAATGCTTTAATTTCAATTTACTTACATGTTCTAAACTTTACTTAATTACATGTTCTAAAGTTTCTTTACTATGTTATAAAGTTTATTAGTATTGTTCTAAAGTTTTCTATGTATCTGTCTCTTTATTTTTTAAAGCTTATTTTTACGTTCTACTATTTTCTTTAAATTCTAAAACTTTCATTGTATGTTCTAAAGTTTACCTTCTAGTTTTAAATTTTACTTTTTATGTTCTAATGTTTACTTTCATGTTCTAATGTTTTTATTTTTTATTTTTTTTTATGTTCTAATGCAGTTGGCATTATTTATCGTACTCCTGAGGTTGATGGATCATTTAGTTCTGGTGGTACCACTAAGGAATGGATTTCAAGTGTTCCAAAGGAGTTAAAACCCAGTGTGAGGATGATATTTAAAGATCCCAAGGAGGGTCTTAGTTTTTACAAAGCATATGCAAATGCTGCTGGGTTTACTTCTAGGAAATCTACTACTAAAAGGAAGAAGAATAACAAAGATGTAATTACTTTTCAATATGGAATTTGCAATAAGGAAGGTTTCAAGGCAATAAGAAAATCTATTGCTCGACAAACCGTTGATGAAGAAGGAAAAGTTCGTATTACTAGGAAACGTTTAGTCACTCGCGTAGGATGCAATGCTCACATATGTATGAGATATGAGGACGGAAAGTATGTTGTTAATCATTTCAGAGAAGAACATAATCATCCTTTATATACTCCAAATTGTGCAAAATTTCAAAAGGATAATAGAAAAATGCATATTATGCATAAAAAGTTGATTGTTGATAATTCAAAGGTGATTTATTCTTATGGCTAAATAATGTTTTCTTTGTTATGATTTATTATGTTCTAAAGTTTTTCCTTAATCATAGTAATTTTTTTTCTTTTTTTAAACAGGTAAATGTTGGTCCTGTGAGGCCTTATACTATGATGAAAGAATTAGCTGGATCACATGATAATGTTAGTGCATCTAAACAAGACTTCAAAAATTTTTATAGATATTTGAAGGCTTACATTGACGGATCAGATGTCCAAATGTTTGTGGATAATTTTCAAAATAAGAAATTGTTATGGAGTGCATTTTTCTTTGACTATGATGTTGATGAAGAAGATAGACTTTGTAGAGTTTTATGGGCTGATCCTATTTGTCGGAAAAATTATGCACTTTTTGGCGATATGGTTCCTTTTGATACCACATTCAAAACAAACAGGTGATGTTCTAAATATATATTTATTTCATAATCTTAACTAATATTTATTGTGTTCTTATATTCTACATATTTTACTTTTACATCCTAATTTTTTAAACATATGTACTTATATTTTAAACACTATGTCTTATTGCCTTATGTTCCTAAACAAATATCCATCATTTTTTGATGTTCTAAACATATATGTCTTATGTTTTAAACTATGTATGTCTTATGTTCTAAACATACATGCTGATGTTCTAAACATATATGCCTTATGTTCTAAAATATATCCATCATGCTTTTATGTTTTAAACTTTATGCTCTTGTGTTTTACACTTTATGCTTTGTGTTTTAAACTAATATCCATCATGTTCAGATGTTCTAAACATTATGTCTTGTGTTCTAAACATTATGTCTATATGTTCTAAAGTTTACTTATTAGGTTTTAAAGCTTCACTCTATATTCTAAATTTATTGTTTATGTTCTAGAGTAATTCACTATGTTCTAAACTAACTATGTTATTGGCAAGTTTAATAATTAAAGTAAATTACTATGCTCTAAAGTTTATCCTTAATGTTATAAAGTTTATCTCTATGTTCTAAAGTTTACCCTTATGTTCTAATATTTTCTGCACATATAATTTGTGTATGTTACTGATATAATATGATCTTTGGTCCATTTACTGGAGTTGATCACCATAAGAAATGTGTTACTTTTGCGTCTTCTTTTGTAGCTCATGAATATATACCTTCTTTTGAATGGGTTTTTAAAAATTTTCTTAAAGCCATGGAAAATAATGAGCCTGTTTGTTTGATTACCGATCAAGACCCTGCAATGAGAGTTTCTATTCGTAATGTTTTTTAAACTACTGAATATAGGTTTTGTATGTGGCATATTATGAAAAAGGTGCTTCAAAAAGCAAGTCGGGGAATCGCCCAAGACACTGATTTTCTGAAAAAACTTTGTACATGTGTTTGACATTTAGAGATTGAGCCGACAGATTTTGAACAAAAATGGAACAAAGTTATTTCAGAATTACATTTGAATAATCATGAATGGTTGGCGCATATGTACAATATACGTGATATGTTGATTTCGGCCTATTTCAGAGATTTATTTTTGGGTGGCATCATGAGAACCACTTCTAGATCAGAAAGTGAAAATAATTTTTTCTCTATGTTTACAAATCCTCATCTCACTCTGATTGAGTTCTACATGAGGTAATATGTAATAATCTAAATATGTTCTAAAGTTACTCTTTATGTTCTAATGTTTCTCTCTATGTTCTGAAGTGTTTTTCTCTCTTTAGTTTGTTATCAATGTTCTAATTTATGTTTTATGTTCTAAATTAACTCAATATGCTCTAAAGTAAATATGTTCTAAGCAAGTTTAAAAGATAAATTAATACATTATGCTCTAAAGTTTTCCTTTTATGCTCTAAAGTTTTTCTTTTTATGTTTTAAAGTTTTACTATTTATTTCATAGTTCTCTTTTTATGTTCTAAATTTTGTCTTACATGTTTAAAAGTTTTCGCTTTATGTTTTAATAGTATTTAGATCATAATAAGCATGTCATGTATATTATTTTTATATGTTCTAATGTAATTCACTCTACGTTCTAAAGTTATCTTCTATGTTCTAAAGTTACTTTCTATTTTCTATAGGTTTGAATGTGCATTGGATGCTCAAAGGCACACTCAAAATAAAATGGATAATGATTCGAAGAATAAGCGTCCGGAGTGTAAGACTCTAATTCCTTTAGAAAAAGATGCTTCTGAGTTGTTTACAACAACAATTTTCTATGAATTTCAATATGAGTTTGAAATTGGATGTTTTAATTGTGGTGTTGAGGAGATGAAGAAGGACAATGAGCTTTACATTTTCAAATTGAGGGAAGGATCTAGGAGGAGGACTTTTGATGTTGTTTAAGGACAATGAGTTTTTTTCAGGTTGATGGATCTGCAATTAGTACAATCGCATGAGACGTTTTAGTTTTAGAAATAATCTCATTTACTTGCACATGGAAAAAAATTCGTGTAATTTTTTGTTTTTTTTTTGTATTTTTTTATTATATTGAGAACATAATATCATATATTTTTTGTCCAATTATTCTCTATATTCAAAAGTTTATTGTATGTTCTAATCTAATTAATAAGTTCTATAGTTTTCCTTTATGTACTAAATTTTAACCTTTATGTTCTAAGTTGCTTATATTTTTTAATTTGTTATTTGTATGATTACTTATCAACACCATAATGTCTTGTGTTCTAAACTAATTACATTAGAACATGACTTCTACCACCATTAAACTCCACTCGCAACAAAGAGGGGTTTTGCGGAAACCCAGGCAAAAGATCTTAAGCATAGTTATTGAAAAATAAGGGCATATAGTTAACTATTAATCCAACCCAAAAAAAAAAAAAAAAAAAAAAAAAAAAAAAAAAAAAAAAAACCAAATTTAACCAAGATTAAGCTAAATAACCCACCACCACTAGCAGCACCAAAACCACCCACCACCACCACTAGCAGCACCGGAACCGCCCACCACTACCACCACCCAACACCAGAACAACCCAACACCACCAGCTAGCACCACAAAACACCAAACCCACCACCACCCAACCGCAGCACCGATCGAAGCCACCAAACCCACCGATCTAAGCCTCACGTACCCACCACCACCGATCCTAACAAACGATCTAAACCTCGAACCCACCAAACCCACCGATCTAAGCCAAGAACGCACCAAACCCATTGCAACAACCCACCAAACCCACCGACCCCAGCTAACCCACAAACCAACCACAAACCCACTAACCTACCCACAAACCCACTGATCTGAACCCACCAACAAACCCGCGTTTTGAGCATACCACCCACGACCTGAAAGTCTGAAACCACCAATGAACCAATTATTAGAAACCACCGACGAACCCACCATGAGAATGGGATAGGAGGAGGAGAGAGAAAAATAATGGGGATGAGGGTAAAATTAATTAAGGTTGGGGTTTAATCTAATGAAATCAAAATTTTAATTTAATAAGGTTAGTTATTTTAAAAAAAATTAAGGGTATAATGGTCATTTTGCACCCAAAAAAGTAACTATAAAAGGAGGTAGAATTAAATTTTTGGCTACATTTTTAAACCAAAATATCAAAACCATAATCTTATCATCAATACCATAAGCAAAGGTACTAAACTAACATATGTCTTGTTATAATATATTTATGTATACATAAAAAAAAGTAAGGAAATGTACTATTATATTTGTTTTAAATATCTCTCTAAAGATATATACTTAAGACCTACACAATCATATATCAATTTTGTTCTTCTTTGACCACTTTTTAGCTATCTTCATCACTCTTTTCCGTTCTTCATTTATTTCTGATGTTATAATCTTCCAACAATACTCCACTCTTAACCTTTTCATTTGCTCAAACTGCAAAAAAAAATAAAAAAAAATAAAAAAAAAAACCTTTAGAACATAATCAGAATTACTTTAAAACATAGACATGTAATTTAGAACATAATCAGAAATACTTTAGAACACTGAGCATTGACATGTAATTTAGAACATAATCTGAATTACTTTAGAACATAAACTTATAATTTCATAAAAGCGTGATAAAAAAAAAATTGAGTCATAATTAGAATTACTTTAGAACATAATCAGAAATACTTTAGAACATTGAGTCATTGACATGTAATTTAGAACATAATCAGAACTACTTTAAAATATAGACATGTAATTTATAACATAATCAGAAAAACTTTATAACATAAACTTATAAGGGAAATTCTTCATGGTGGCCTCAAGGATTCAGTTTTTCTACGTGGAAGGCGAACTTTTTTCCAACTCTCTTAAGTGGCACCAAGGTTTTGAAAAATTAAGCGTAGTGCCCAATTTTTGATTTTTTGGCTAACTTTTTTAATTTTTGGTTAACCATAAGTAATTAAAAAATTTATTAAAAAAAATTAAAAAAACCACCATCCAGCAGCCATCTGCCAAACCCACTGCCTACGTCGCCAATGCGCCCAGACCCCCTCCCTCAGTGCCGGCGCGCCCAGACCCCCCTCCCTCGGCGCCGGCGCCACCCTGACCTCCTTCTCTTCCCCTTCCCTAACCACCGTAACCTCAGCCCCCACCAATCGAAACCCCCTAAAAGTTGCCGGAAAAGTCCGGTTGCCCCTCTTCACACACTCGAAACCCTAGCACCGGCCTTTTCGAGGTGTGGGGTAGGGGCTACCGTACTTTTCACTATTTTATGGCTAGGGTTTTGATGTCGTACAATGGCTGGATTGGGGTTTCGAGGGTGGTGGCTAGGGTTTTGGGTTTCAAATGGTGGCTGGGGAAAAAAGGGGGTGGTTTTCGTGATTGGGCTGGTAAAATTGGGTCGAAGCTGGCGATGGGTAGGTTTGGCTCGGGGCTGGCGGTGGGGTATGGCAAGGTTGGGGGTTGGCGGTGGTGTAAGGCTAGGGAGGGGGCAGTGGCGATGGGCTTGTGTTGGTGTGGTTGGCGGCAGTGAAGGTGGTGGGTTTGGTGGCTGGCGGCAATGTGGGTGGTAGGTTTGGTGGTTGGGAAGGGGGTTAATTAGTTTGTTTAGTATAAAACTAATGGTTAGCCAAAAAATCAAAAAAAGGTCACTATACTTAATTATGAAAATCTAGAGTGCCACTTAAGAGAATGCAAAAAAACATTATCATTCATTTAGAATTTTTATATCCTTGAGGCCACCATGTAGAATTTCTCAACTTATAATTTCTTTAGAGCATGATTAAAAAAAAAAAATAATAAAAAAATAAAAAAAAATAAAAAAAAAAACTAACCAAGTCAAACCTCAACACCAAAACCTTCATAACCAAACACAACCAAATAAAACCACAAAAAGAAAACTTCATAATCATGTATGTCTTGTTCTAAACGTACATTGTCCTTCTCTAGTCCCGAATTCCATTGTTTTCCATATTGTCCTTCATATGTTTTCATGTGCTTCAATAGGAACACTCCACAATCATGATTGTTCTTGTTGCTCTTCCATTTCATATTCAAGTTTCTTGTTTCATAGGAGGATACAATGTCACTCTTCTTATCAACTTCTTGATAGAATTCACCAAATGCCTTCAACTAAAAAATTTTATAACTTATAAGCATATAGATTAAGCTATATATTTTTAGAACATATGTATATAGCTTATATATTTAAATATGTAGTGTAGAACATAAACATATAACTATTTAGAAAAGTTAAACTTTAATGACTTACCATCTTTGTAGTCTCATCTCCATATTTATCTTCAAAATAAATTTTTGGTGGAAGAAATCTATTATCAATCACATCAAGTGTTCCTTCCAAAAAGTTGACACACAACAAATAATAGTGACCCGGTAAAACAACCGGAAAGAAAACCTAATAGATAAATACAATTAAAGAATAAATTAAAAATATAAACATGTGGTTTAGAACATAATCAGATACTTTAGAACATAGATAAAAATAAATAGAATATAATAAAAAGAAAAAAAAAAACATATTACCAATTGAATGTTGTTGGAGGTTGTTACTTCAGCATTTGTCATTTCCTTTTTCATTTGCTTAAACAAAGCTTTCTTTCTATCATCTTGACTTTCAGTGTTTTTGAAGTATTTTTCGGTACAAAGAATGAGCTAAAAAAAAGGAAATTAAAAATTAAGTAATTAGAACATAGGTGTATTGTATAATCTATATGAGGAAAAAAAAATTAAAGTATAAGTAAGATATTTAGAACAAGATTATATGTTTAAGTTCAAAAACATACATAACATTCAGTAGAGAAAAATAATCTACTCTTTCTGTCTACACCACGCCTTTTGTTTTCATAATTCAATATGAAAACATAAGCATCTGCAATATTGTTCAACATGTGATTATTTCCTGTAAGACTATCCATATCATCTCTCCTAATCACCGGTGCCAATTGTCAACATAAAAAAGCTCCTAAAATGAGAAGAAAAAAAAATTAAATCAGAACATAATTTTGAACATAAGCATAGTACTTTAGAACATAAGCTTGTAACATTTAGAACATATACTTAGAAAATAAATATAGTTTAGAATTAAGCTCATAAATTATAGTGTAATTTATAACTTAGAACAAGTAGTTTAGAACATAAGTACCAAATTTAGGATGTGTACATATAGTTTCCAACATGTACTTTAGAACATAAGCTTCTAGCTTAGAACATAAGTACAATGTTTAGAACATAAGTATAAATTTTAAAACATAAGCACATACTTAGGGTATAAGCATATAAATGTACAGTGTTGAAATCTTACGCGTTATCTCCTTGAGCAAAAGCATATTCAGCTATCATTCTATGATCTACATTGCTGAAGAGTTTTTCATGATTAACCATAAAAGGTGAACGCAATTAAGTACATAGGTAGCTTAGCTTATTCTTTCCTCTTTTTTTCCTTGTCTGATCTTTTCTTCTTCTTCTTTTACTTCTTGCTTCCTATTCAATTAAATTAAGGAAAAAAAATATAAAAAAAAAAACACACACACATAGATAACAAACTCAATCAATAACTAAATCAAATAATAATTAAACAACAACCATAGCCTAAACCTAATTTCTAATGTTTTCAAAATAATTACCCTTGCTTGTTCTCTTTGTTGTCCATCAAAATAATATATGCATAAACATAATGTATGGATAAATATAAAACGATAATTACCATTGATGGACCTTCATCTTTCTTTTTCTTATCCTTCGGTTTTTTTTTTCTCATCCTACACGTTATAATATGAGTAAATTAACTTTTGTTATTACAAAAATTATATATATCAATAGGTAAGAATATATTATTTACAATTTTTAAAAGATAGGCATAATATAAAAGGCATAATTACCATTAATGGCTCTTCATTTTTATTTTTTGCATTTTTCAATTTTTTCTTCTTGATTTCACCCTACAAATCATAATATGAATAAATTACAAACTTTAGAACATACATAATAAACTTTAGAACATAAAATACAAACTTTAAGACATGCAGGATAAACTTTAAAACATATATAATAAACTTTAGAACATAAAGTATAAACTTTAGAATATATAGCGTAAACTTTAGAACGTATAGCGGAAAATTTAGAACATAAGCATATACGAAAATCATACCATATTCAATTAGTCTTTTTAGTACTTTTCCTTTTTCAAATCCAAGGTCTTTTTCAAATTTTATTCTTATATGAAACCTTTCCTTGTTCCACAATGCTATTAATGGAACTCCCCGTGGTAGCTCCAACCCTTTTCTTTGTACACGATCAAAATAGGATACCTATAAGAATTAATTAGACTATTTTTAGTGCATTTTGATCATAATATAAATTACATATATAAAGAATGGTAAAAAAAATTAAAAATTACCGTAAGAAAGATTAAAGGACCAATAAAGTAAGATTCTCCATCTAGCCATTTCTGAGAAGTTTCCATCAGGTGGTCCTTAATAAACTTGCACCAATCCAACTTAACTATATTCTTCGTATCCCTACAACTATACAATAATTTAATGTATAGTTGTGTGCTATTAGTTGAACACATGCAACTATTAACCACACAAACCACGAAATTCCAAATGAATTCATCGGAAACTCGATCTTCTGCTTTATCTACCTCTTTCACCTTTACAATCCTACTAATCAATTGTCCATTTGTTGGAGCACCCTTTAAGAGACAAAATAAAACATATAACTTAGAACATAGGTGGAAGTAATAATTAATATGCAGAAAATATTTTAGAACATAAGCATAAATTATTTTAGAACATAAGAAGAAATAATTTAGAACATAAAAGATTATAATTTAGAACATAGAGTATAATTTATAAATTATACATAGTTTGAAACATACAAAAAATACTTTAGAACATAGAGTATAATTTAGAAATTCAGAACAAGACCAGTAAACAAGCAAAAAATACAATTTAGAACATAAGCCAAATAACAACTTTAGAAGACAAACACAGAATAAAAATTACACTATAGAACATAGGCTGAAAATACTTTAGAACATAAGCTAAACATATTCTATAAGTTGAAAATACTTTAGAACATAACTTAAAGCTAATTTAGAACATAAGAACTTTAAAACATGATTATAATAACAACTTTAGAATACAAGAACAAAATATAATTTAGAACATAATCCAATTAAAAACTTTAGAACACTTTATTAAAAGGATAAGTAGAAAATAAAATTCGAACATAATACTTAAACTTTAAAATGTAGGATTAATAACTACACAAGTGACATTTTAAAACAAAATATTCATACCTTTTCAAGGTCAAAGTTTTTTCTCCATTTCTGTAAAAATTTTGCATATTCCACATCAAATTCTTCTTGTGGTTCATGAATTTTGACATCCCCCATTAGCAATCCATATGCCATGTGAACATCAATTTCATCAAAGAATATTTCTTCTTCTCTCCCAGGTAGCATCAAGCAACATCTTTTGGGATCAAAATTTGTAAGAAGTTGTTCCGTCAACCTAGAATTAAATTAAAGGTTTAGAATACAAAATACAAATAGATTAGAGCATAGAATAGAAATAAAAATAAAAATTAACACAATATTTAAACTTTAGAACATTAATTAGAATCTTATAAGAATTAGAACACGAAAATTATACATTACAAGTTTACAACATAATATAATCAATTATTAGAACATAGAAATAAAAAAAAATAAGCATAATAAATGAAACTTAAAACATTATAAGATTTAAAACACAATAAATATAGATTAGAACATAATAGTCAATCTTTAAAACATAAAAATTAAAATAAAAATTAGTGCTAGTGCTTACTGTGAATCGGCATAAAATGGTGCATCCAATTCCAAAAAAGCTCCAAATCCAATTTTCTTTATTGCTTGTTTATGCTTATCAGAAAGACCTATTAACACCGTTTTCATCTATTGCTTAGCAGGAACTCTTTGATAAGTTGTCCTCTTATTTAGATTTTTTTCCTCTTTGATTACTTGGACATCCTCATCATCCTCTTCTTTTTCAATCTTTCTTTTCTTACTTTTCACATTTTTTCTCAGAACACCCTGAAAAAAGATAAGCACGTGACATAGCTTATCAACAAATAAGATAAACATATAATTTAGAACATCAACAAATAAATTAGAACCTTTTTACTATCATCTTCCACGTCCTCTGTTTCATCATCTTCCTCCTCCAACTTTGTTTTATCCATCTCATCATCAACATCATCCTTATCATCTTCATCTCCATCATCATCCTCATCATCTTCTTCTTCTTTCATTACTTCTTTTTTGTCTCTTTCTTCTTCTTCTTCTTCCTTTTTTTTCAATTTTCGAGGTGGTTGAATCCTTGATGGAAGCTTGCTACGTCGTTTGAGAATATTTAGACTTTTAAAATGTTTCTCAAATTTCGCTTTGTCAATTACTTCCGCTTCAACATTTTCAACAACTTTCCTTTAAAATCAAATATAAATGATAAGAACATCTATTATAATCTTTAGAACATTGACAATTTAGAACATAATCAGAAATACTTTAGAACATTGATATGTAATTTTGAACATAATCAGAAAATACTTTAGAACATAAACTTATAATTTAAACATAATAAAAAAAATAAAAAAAAAATAACCAAGTCAAACCTCAACACCAAAACCTTAACCAATTTCAAACATAATAAAATAAAACCACAAAAGAAAAAGTTCATAATCATGTATGCTTTGATCAAAACTTACATATAGTGCAAATATAAAGTGTTAAGATGAAATTTAAATATAATGGAAAAACATTAGACCACAAAATAAGCTTTCAAACATATATGATAATCTTTAGAACATAATAGAAAACTTTAGAACATAAGAGAAAACTTTAGAACAAACTTTAAAACATAATAGGTAAACTTTAGAACATTAGATTAATTACCTTTTTCTTGAATAAGTAATTTTTTTTTTTTTGTATAATAGTAACTTCTTCTTTTGATTTTTCTACATTTTGGCCTTGCATTTTGCTGCAATTTTAAGAAATCAAAAACATTAGTAACATTTCAACGTTAGAAACATATTTTTGAACATAGGAATAATTTAGAATATGCTGAAAAAGAGTTTAGAACATGCTAAGCTAAGTTATGAAAAAGAGTTTAGAACATGCTAAGCTAAGAGTTTAGCACATAAATTGCCAAAAAAACTAAAAATCTAAGAAATAATTTCTCCTCCTTCTATATTGTACAGCGGGTTGCCTTTAGGGCACCAACAAGCCTTTTATTTCCCAAATTACTCCCTATCATGTCCTAATTTGAATCCATTTTCGGTGTCTCGAGTCCTAAACATTTCAATTAAGAAGCCAACAATCCCCTGCTTTATATGCAACTCCCCTGCTCCATCTCCTTGTGAGCACAACCAAATTCACACCATAAGCAGCCCACAAATTACTCCCTATCAACCCTCACTCACACCAGCCACCAACCATGACTCATTCATTCCTCATAAGCTACAAATGCTTTGGTCAACTCTTGTACACTAAACAATTACCATTCCAATTTTTCTTCCGTGATAAATGCAACCAGTCTTCATCTTTCTACTTCAATTATTTTACCAATTTGTCAGTTCATACAACTAAGTTTGCAGCAATATAATATAAATGAATATGAACTTCCTTATTACAATTATTTTTACAGTAACTACAGCTTCTATATACTTGGATTAGGATTAACACCAATTACCACCGTCACCCACCATCTCCAACCTCCTCCAACCACCGTCCACAACAACAACCACAACTCACAGCCACCCAACACCGCAAGCAGCCGCGCACCACCAAATCACCATTCAACAGCACCCCACGCTGCTCCTAATCACCGCACAACCATTACTCATCCTCGACCTCCACCATCACTCGCCCAAAATGACGCCAAAAAAAATCGAAAAAAATGGATTGAAATTATCTAATAATCAAGAGTAGCGCTGAAATTACCTCATATTTCTGAAATTTAAACACTAAAATCGCTGAAATTCGAACATTAAAATCGCTGAAATTCCAGCCCTAAAACCGTTAAAGTGAAAATCGCCGCAAAGTTTGAACCCTAAAATCGCCGAAAATTAATGAAAATCAAATCAAATCAGAAACATGAACAATCGAATTTAACTCATGCGAAATTCACGAAAATCAAATCAAAAAATCGCAAAAATTAAATCACAAAATCGCGTAAATAAAATTGCAAAAATCATATCGAAAAATCGCAAAATCTACTTTAACATCATGCTAATTTCATTAAAATTTGAAAAAAATCGAAAAAAAAAACATACCTGATTTGAAAATCCTTCGAATTGCAATTTCTATGGAGATTTTTGGGGGTTTGAGGAGAGAGAAAGTGATGAACACGAAGAGAGTGAAAGTTAGAGGAGAGAGAAAATTTTGGACGGTTGGTAAAGGGTTTGAGGTAGGATATGTGTTTTAATCTTAACCGTCCAAAGTAACTTAATCCTACGGCTGAGATTGGTTCCTATATAACTAGGGTTCTTGTATAAGGAGGGGTTCTTACCGGATCTCTCCCCTATATATATATATATATATATATATATATATATATATATATATATATATATATATATATACGGGTAGGTTCCGCTGAAAACAGAGCTTATGGTGAAAACTAAAAACAAGCAATCTTAGCCATTGAATGTTCACTAGATAATCTGATGGTGTGAAACAACCCAGAGGTGACTATATACAAAAATAAGGTAATTATATCAATTTATAATAATTTTGATGACATTTACACCGAGATCACTATATATAGAAATAAGGTAATTATATCAATTTTTACAATATTTAATTAGAGGTCACTATATACAAAAATAGGTTAATTATATCAATTTTTACCATATTTACATAAAGGTCACTATATACAAAAATAAAGTAACTATATCAATTTTGACCACATTTATACAAAGGCCACTATATATAAAATTAACGAAAGTCGCTGTATATAAAAATAAGGTAATTATATCAATTTTGACAGCATTGACCACATTTATATGTATGCCTATCACTCAAGTAGCTCCACCTCCACCTCCAGCCGCACAACCAGCTACCGTCGGACCACCCTGTAACCAGCAGCTCGCCACCGCACCAAATCTCGTCCGCGGCACCGCTCACCAAACACCAATCCGAGCAGATGCAACTCCCGAACCACACCACGAGCAGCCGCCTAAGCAAACACCATCAATCGTAGCAATAAATAGCAAAAGAATATCAAAATTCTAATTGCAAAACCAAGAAATCAAATTTGATGCATATATAGCAAAATTATAACTATTTTAATGCAAATTAAGTGTTAGCACTGAACCCACACACCAACAATGATATACAAATTTTAATGCAAGGAAAGCTGTAATTTTTCAATAACTTATTTTGATGTCCTGCGTAAAACAATAACTATTTTACACAACTATACCAATTTATTTTTCCGTCTAGCAATGATCCAGCTGATCAATTTTGTAGTTTGAGCATCAATTCTATACCAAGAATCATTGAATAAAACTTTGAAAGAGTATTATGACAACATTGGACTTCAACACATTAGTTGTTCTTAGTTTCCTCATATAATCAGTAATACAATATCTAGCAACTAATCTCATCAGTAAAATTAGTCAACCCACACAGAAATAATAATAGGCTCAGTTTGTCTATTCATTACTGCCTAAAGTAACAGGACATCATAATAGCTATGTTTTAACAGTACATAATCTACCAAACCTAGGTCTGTTAATCTCTCTCCTCCTATACTCTATGCAATATAAAGATTTCGAAGAATTTTTGGTGCTCTAATATCACTAATTAATAATACTATCCAATTTTACTCAAATCAAGCTAAAATCAAACAAAAATCAAGCTAAAATCACACATAAAAACCCAATTTACACAAATTAAGAAAAAAAATATACAAATGAATCTCAAATAATACCATACAAAAAAATTAAGTTGAATTTGAACATAATTTCCCAAACCTAGGCCTGCTAATCTCTCTCCTCCTCCTATACTCAACAGAATACAAAACCATATGCAAAATACTAGTGTTCACAAACACTTTGATACAACAGATAAATCCAATTATAAACATGATATCAATTCAAAACAAGCTAGAAACATAATCATATGAGAGAGAAAATCATATTAACACTCGCACTTGAATTCGGAATCAGAATAAAATTGAGTAACATAATCGGTTAACAACTATATAAAACCTGATAAATATTATCTTAAACCGATTAGAATTTTAAAACCAGCAATTATCCAAGTTCTTAAATCAAAGATGCAAAATCAAGCTAAAAATCAAAACCCTAAGTGAGCGAAAATCAAAGTAACAATAATTAACTGCAGTTTACGAAAGCAAGAGAGAAAAATGCTCTAACAAATATATTTTACAAGCTTGTATCAGCGTTCTTCAACAAAATTATCAGATTCGTATAAATTCTAAGATACAAAAATATACACAAATGTATAGACCTGGCAAACTTAACCCAGACCCGATGACCCGACACATGGCCCGTAATCGACCAAAATACAGTGACCCGAAATTGACCCGAAACCCGAAGCAACCCGACCCATACCCGACCCGAAGTGGAATTGACCCGACCTTGACCCGAAACCCGAAGTTGACCCGAGACCCGAAATGACCCGACCCGAAGTTGACCCGAAACCCGAACTTGACCCGACCCGAAGTGACCCGATCTTTAACTTGGATTAATTTACCCAAATAGACTCGAAATCCAAAGTGACTCGAACTAAGATTACCTTATACCTGAAATGACCAGAATCTATTTAAGCTTTTAAGCTAACAATTTAACCTGAGCAAACCGAAATAGAAAATAATCGCAATCAAACTGACTTCAATCTATTTTTTTTCTATTTAAGTCTAGAAAAAAATAGTACAATAATAATGCGTACATAATGTTCAATACCAAATGAAATTACAAAATATTTTAAATAATTGAGTAGTATATCGATACAAGCATATTTACATAAGTGCATACTTGATAATTCATTAGTTCACAATATACTAATATTCTAATAGTCTAATAGTCATGAGACATCCTATGAAAGTATGAAGTAACTTAGACCGGAGAGTCAGAAACTGAGCTATTAAGTAGCCCGAAAAAGGTTTCATCTAATCTTATAAAGTTTGAATTTGAGATCAAATTACCTTAAATAAGAAAAACCTTGTTATGAGTTTCGTTTGAAAAAAATTAATTGGAATCGGATAGGTTTACAATAATGTTGTTAATCAACTTTATAATAAAATTTTGTGTCGTTTTTCACCCTTATATTTAAGTAATTGATCGCATATATTATTGTACATTAAAGCATGTAATTTTAAGAACTAATTACAACTGAGTTTAAGTTGACTTGTTTGAATTCCTAATTAACAATAAATTTTTTTATCAAACGAAGCATGTGATTACCTATTTTTGATTGAATCGGTCACAAAAGAAAAATTGAGTACATGTTGGCTGGTTTGACCTCATAATTTGCAATTTATCAGTAAATTTAATTTCAAACGAAGCATGTCATAACATATATCTGATCGAATCGGTTAAGAAAAGATCACAGTGCGAGTAAGTGTATTTGGCGACTTGGCGTCCATCCAAACTATTACTCTTTAAGTCTTTATTAGAAAAAAAGTCTTGTCACTCTTGTGTCATTGTATGTACTAGTTGAAATCGCCACTACAATAAATATTTTAGAAATATTCAATTGGTAAAATTCTATAATGTAAATTACTGATTATTATAATAGGAAGTCTATTATTAATCAATTTCTTGCACGACATGCCTGCATACATGTATCAGTGTAAGTCCGGTTAAAATTAATGGAGCACTTAAAAACATAGATTATATTATAGATTATTATAAGAATAATACAAATAAATATTACAACAGTAAACAGTAACAATGATAATAAAAGTATTAAAACTAAGGACAATAAGAGAGTAAGGTATAACTCGTATAAGCGTATAACTCAATTAGTTAGAGCATCCCTCTTAGTTTCAAGAGATCTTGAAATTGATTCTCAATCTAAACACCAAAAAAAAAAAAAAAAAAAAAAAACAAGGTCAACAAAAGTCTCACAGTTACTATATGAGTATATTCCATGAAAAAAGTAGCCTTAATAAATATAGTGAGTTTCTTGTCAAAAAATAAATAAATATATATATACAGAGTTGAATTTAACCCAGTGCATCAACCCGAATATGACCCGACCCAAAGTTGACCCGAAATTTGCACCCGAAAATCGACCCGACCCGAAAAATGACCCGACCCGAAAATTGACCCGACCCAAACTCGATCCGAAGTGTTGACCCGATACCCGACCCGACCAGATTATCAGTCGACCCGAAATCAACCCGAAACCCAAAATGACCCGACCCGACCCAAACTTGAACCGATACCTAAAATTTGACCCGACCCAGACCCGACCCGAATGACCCATTTTCCAGGTCTACAAATGTAGATCAAAGAATGCCATATAAAGAAATTAAGTCAAATTTTGACATAATTACACTCTTATGAAACGCGAATAAGCATGAAAAAGCTCAGATAAAGTGTAATTACTGCTACATACAGCTCACAATTGAATTTGTGACAAAAGAAAATCGACCCAAAATTACACAAAAAACCTATTCTACTAAAATCAAGCAAAATCACACAAATGCAGCTCACATCTACACCACAAAACTGATTCAAATCAAAACTCAAAAAATTCTAATCGAAAATTCAGTTTGACTTCCAAAAAAAAACCATAGAATATACCAAATTAAACAAAATCATAAATGAAAAACTCACTTTTTTGAAGCTAACGACGAAATTGATGAAGATTGAAACAAATTCTAATGGCGATTTTGATGAAATTGAAGCAAATTCTTCTATTTAGTGATTCACTTTTTTGGGAGAAGGAGAGAGAAAGAGTGAGATGGAGAACGTGAGAAGGAGGAGAGAGAAAAAAATAGAGTAAATAATAGAGGAGAGAGAAAGGATTATCAGATATCAAGAAACAAAACCAAGCTTAAGATTATTAGATATCACGTGGATATAATATCATCCGTCGATTAAAATTCAATGGTCTAGATTATCTGTTTTTAGTTTTCACCTTTAGACTTGTTTTTACATGATTCATTCCCTATATATATATATTACTCCTTTTTCATTTTAGTTATTTCAAAAACCTCTCATACTAGGAAAAAAAAAATGAAAAACTCCGATTCGTGCATAGGAGAAGTAAAATTGAGGCAAAGAGCGAGCCTTAACACTATTTTTTTCCTACATAGTAGCGGTATATGTAGGGGTATAGCTATGAGATAACAATATACTCCTTTCGTTAATAATTACTTACTCCATTTCTCTATGCGCGGAGTTTTAGTAGAAATTAGAGAAGTAATAAAATATGA